GTAATGACAGGCCTTTATTTGACGTTTACAAGGCAAATTAGGGAAGAGCCTGAATCCGTTTCACATCTGTGTAAGGAATTATAACACCATACACGTTTGCTACCTATAGATGCAGGGTGTATTTTATATGAATTTATACATTAGGAAGTTGCATGAAAATTATCTTGTTTAAACATTCATGAGGAGCAAACATCCCCCAAGAGCACTGAAGACAGAAACCCAGCTTTGTCCCTCCTGAGAGCCTGGCTCCCCTTTCTCTTCTCGCATTTAAAGCTCCACATCGAATCCCCTCCAAAACCAAGGGGATGTGGAAGTTTATCTGCTTTGAGGATGTGATCACTTTTACTGGGAGGAGCTTCAAATTGCAGATTTGGATGTGAAGTGTGGACCATTTGGCAAGGTCCAGCCCTATGGGTCTGGGGCGGATCTTGCTCCCTTGCAAGGAAGCCAAGACCCTAACTTGTTATATGTTCCAAACTTTGCTGGGAGTTTTTGTTCACCACATTCAAACATTCTCATTTATATATGTTTTCCTTCTCCCAGATTGCTTTGACACAGTGGCAATTAGTCATGCTCGATTGTCTGGGTTGACTAATTACTGATAGTTTTGACAGGCCTCATCAGAAAGGTTGCAGAGCCCCAGTGTAAGCTAGGATCCAAGCCTCTGGCTGCAATGCTCCTCGCTGTGCCAGAGTATGGAATGCGGTGCATCATTTCAGCCCTGGCAGTGCCTCACTCTCAGCTGCACCCCCAAATTGGTCACAGCTGAGAGAACAGCATTCCTAGCATAGCTAGTTGGGGGAGGAGTGTGGGGAAGTTCATTATAGGGCTGGCAGGGGTGGAGGAGGAGGTAGTGTGGGGTGGCAGGGGTCGGGGAGGAGGTAGTGTGGGGTGGCAGGGGTGGGGGAGATAGTGTGGAGATGGGGAGGAGCTTGGGTGCATCAGAGAAAAAAATGCACCACTGGATAAGGTCCTGAGAAACAGGCTTTAAATGTCCAAAGGGGAGAAGAGAAAACTCTCCCCTCTGATAGATTCAGATGTAGGTGAAGTCCAAGAGATTTGGGTCATTAATGGGAAAACAGTTATGCTTATCTGCTTCCTGCCAATCTGTATCCATTGACAGAGCAGAAGTAATTATAGATACTGTAGACACACTGTGGCATTAAGTGTTTGAATTACACTGCTTAACAACACTTCCTGATATGGCCCTCCAGGCACGGCCAGAGAACTGGTTTGAGCCAGCAGCCAACACTGTAGGGGCATGACAATATTGTCTGGGGAAGTTTCCCACATTTTCTTTCCCCCCCAAAACTCCAGCAACAAAAAGGAAAAAAGCCTGAGTTGATACTCATTTGGTTTCTGTTGAGTACTTAGTATGTCACTCACATAGCTGTCTTAGCAGAGGAAGCAGGCATATTTCATTTGAGGGTTTTCATAGTTTGGCTCCTCGTAGGAGCCAAAAGCAGGGTCAGCACTGTAGAATCAATTCAGTAGAGGGAAAATAAACCTTTGGAATATATTTTACCTTCCCTGAGCACGTCGCAGGCATTAGCAATAATGGGAACCCTGTCTGCGCATGGAGAGGAAGCATCTACGGCTCAGGCCCCCGCCTATCTTCGCCCTGGGCTGTGCAGTCCCATGACCTTCACAGTGGGTGGGATGATTCTGGATTCATCATCTCCTAACTTTATGCTGCTATGCACAGGATACACACACACACACACACACAGTGTTCTTTCCTTATGGATGGAGACAGAAGCTGCTGAAACATGGCCCACACTGATGAGATTGAGCCTTTCGGGGGTAAATGTGAACTGACTCTATTTGCCCTTGGTGGTGGCTGTGCCATTTTTGCTAGGCTAAAGCTGCCTGGTTTGCTAGTCTTCTCCAACTTCAGGGAGATGAGAGAGCCAAAGGGGGAGGCTTAGGACCTTTTTCCACTTCTTTTAGTTCACTCTGTGTGGCCAACAGAACAACTTGTCAAATAAGCACAGATGCATCAGGAAACCATTAAGCCAACCCATTAAAAGGGCACTGGATTCGCTATTCAAAGTGGCTCGCTTGCTGTTTCTATGTATATGTGTGCTCTGATGCATTTCAACTTAATTTTAAGACAAGGATGAGTGAGGTACTACAGTAGAGATAGTAAACCACAGCCTTCCGCTCCTCTCAGGCTAAGTCACTGAGGAGATGGCATATTCACTGGCTGATTTGTCCACCTTCGCTGTTGTATTTCTTTTTTAACAGAAACTCCAGATAAACATTGCCAGCTTTTACTAAGAGTATCTTGAATGGCTCTTTTGTATTTCTTACCTATCCCTCCCAGAGGTCTCATTACACTCGGAGACCCAGCCCAGGACTGCCTAGCAAGTCATGTTTGCAAACCTCCCTCCTCTAGGTCAGGATAGGGGAGATGCCCAGGGTCTTTCCCTGCTCTGAGTCTTCAAGAGCTCCACTGGTGTGGGCTTCAGCGGGAATTGAGGCAATTGAAAATCACACGGGCAATCTGGAAAGTCATCTTGAAGGCAACTTTGCGATGTCAGCAGTTTGTTTCAGTTCTGGATTTAGCTGTTCTAAAGGTTGATGTAGTCAAGAGGAGTTGTCATGATGTCAGCCACTAAGAAGTGGAGCTGACCAGAGTGCTGAACCCAGTCTCTATTTACCAAAGTCCTCAGACCTTGCTGGCTGCACAGCTGATACATCACCCCCACACCCCCCCCCCAACCCCCGCCAGCCAGCTATAGTACCCCCAGGACAGAGGCAGATAAGAGTGTGCAGAGCAAAAGCTCCACACTTATGGCAACATGCATGTAAACAGCTGGTGGAATTTGGGAGTACATTGCATGTGATAGTTCCCAGCTCTATTAGAGATATATTTGGCTTAGGAGAGCTCAAAAATTGTTTAGAGGGAGTTCACTGCCAATAAAATGAATATTAATAGTGTGGGTCTTGGAGCAAAGAAGATAGTTCTTCAGTATCTAATATGTATCTACAAAGGAAACAGTTCCTCAGTGTTACAAGGCTTGGAGCATGGGGTTTGAGGAGCCTTTTGAAATCAGGAAACACCAGTACCAGTTGGGAAAAGAACTCTACTTACAGTTTAAACCAAATTATCTGAGCTTCCCTGGTGCCTAACTAAATACTTTCTCCCTACAATTTCTCCCCTTAACAATTTGTTTCTCTCAGGTTTTATCAATCTGGCTCTTTTTTTGTTGTTGTGCAGTGTATTAATGATTCTCAAAATCTTCCAGTTTACCCAGAACTGAAACACTTGTGCCAGAGCCATACCCCACATCAATTCACCAGTGCTCATCTCCCCTCTACCCACTCCAAAAACAAAGCCAAGGAGTGGTGCCTGTTGGAAAATCTTCCCTTATTCTGGGGAAGCAGGGGTGCTCCCGTCCCCCACTTCTCTACATTTTCTCCAGGAGCCAGTCTGCACAATTCATCTTTAGCCTGAGGTTCAACTTCCCCATTAACATAGACACAACACTTCACTGAAGCTGAAGTATAAGAAATTTTCTGCTTGATGTGTTTTATGTCCCATTATTATTTTCCCCGTACATCACATGGCTCTCTGAGAGGCACAGGAAAATATGTCTGGTGCAAGGCTTTGGGGAGGGTCCCCCACCACTTAAAAAGGGGAAGGAGGGAGAGATGGACTCATAAAGGAATTCATCCGAAGCTTCTCTCTCTGCCTTCCCAGGAGGTCGGGACTCCTAAGAGTTTTCTCCTGCTCTGGAAACTTCCTTTGCATCCACAAACTCCCTTGGATGGCTGTTTCCCTTTTGTCTGGGTCTCCGTGGTGCTGCTACAGGTCTGCCCTCTCACCGTGGCTGGGGCAGGACTGATAGGTTTCTCCTCTCTAGCCTGTCTGCTGGTCATTATTTATGGGATCAAACTAGAGGCAGGGAAAACATTGATTAGCTCAAAATGTGGGTGAGTCAAATCAACTACCCCACTCCCCCCAAAAATATCACAATCACAATGATTTAGTTCTTTTTTCCATCAGGTGGGAGGAGTCAGAATTGCACACTTGCACATGCAGACTATTCACAGCAATAAAGAAAAATGCATTAAGTATATATACAGGCTTCCAAGCGGGAGAATTTCAAGGGGGAAGAAACCAAGGATAGGGGAAGACTGCCTCCATGGTAACAGTGGCGACAGGTAGTTTCCCCAGAAGTCTCTTTTTGGTCACATCTCTTAAAGTTAGAGGGCACCCCCAAACTCCCATAATCTGGTCACAAATAAAAAGCATTTCCATGGAGAGGTGGAAGTAAAGCTCTCGGCCTTCTGGGTTCCCGACAGTTGCAGGTACACTGTAGCCCCCAGTGCAAATATTCCTAAAGTTCCCTAGTTGAACCCTAGAGGATTCTGGAGCAACTCTAGAATAGAATTCAGAGTTCATGCCAAGAGCTGGGCTCCTCAGCAGTGGACTTGCCCCGGTTCCCTGGACATAGTGGGGGCAGCCACCAAAGCAGGTCAAACACCCACGGGAGAAGTGGGCACCAGTGAAGGAAACCATCAGGCACCTTCTCAGTGTTCACTGTCAACACTTCTAGAAACAGCTGCCGGTGGCCCAACCAAAGGCCCCCAAAGGCGAGGTGGCGAGATGAGGGAGCGAGATGAACAAGCAATGTGAACAGTGCCCCTTAATGAGGAGGCAGTGGGGGGTGGCAATGGTGACCTAACTGGAGGCCAGCAGACTTGGCTCATGTTCCCTAAGCTCTGCTTGGCTGAGGTTATGTGAGCCTCTTTCAGGACCACCTCCTCTTGCAAGCCCAATCCCACTAATAAGCCACTGACCTTGAGTGCAAGTCTGGGGCTGATTTGCTGCTCTGTCTTGGGGAACCCCAGGGACCTAGTGGCTTAACGGGAAGAAATCCTCCTCATTTTAGCAACATTTTTTCTCTCCTGCCATAGTGATAAAATTAGTAGGCTGTTTCTCCACAGAGGAAATGTAGCCACGGGTCCCAGGAGGCACTGCCCATTGCCTGCCTGATGGGTGTGGGAAGGGAAAGCAGGAATGGGTGTGTGCGTGTGTCCCTCCCATCCCCAGCCCCGGCAGGGTCTCTCCCACCCGGGGTGGCCACCCAGCCAGCAGCGAGACCACAGGAAGGGTAGGGGCTGGGGGGCTTAGCTGCAGGAGGCCTGGCAGGAGGCTGCATACACACTGCTGCCCACCGTGCCCCCGCTGGTCAGGCTACTGGTGGGACACTTGAGGGGCTTCATGCTGCTGTCCCTCTGGATGTGCAAGTGCTTGAGCCGCCAGCGCTCCCAGCTCCTCCGAAACTCCATCTGGACCTTCCGTGGGAAAAGGAGGGAAACAAAAGCCATCATGCAAACCAACTGCCCACAAAATGGCCCCATTATTACATTAGCAGGGAAGGGAAAAAAATCCACTGCGTTATATTAAGAGACACAAGTCAAGGCCTTCGGGCACCTAAATTAATATCCCAATAAAATTGTTTATTGTTGTCTCCTATTTTCCGCCTTTCCTCAGGAGAGAGATGAGCTTGATGATCTAATTGGTCTCCTCCATCTCTAAACTCTGTGACTCAGCTCAGTACCTTTCACAATCCATCACAGTCGTATTCAGCGGAAGATAACAAGAGCGAGAGAAATGCGGGAGACGGGAAGGAGAAGACGAGGAGGGGGAGAATCGGACTTCAGCGCACAGCGGAGCCGAGACGGCCCGAGCCAGCCTGCCAGGATGCGCCTGGTCTCCTGGGCAGCGTCACGGGGCCCAGGCTTGGGTGCGGGAGGGGGCAGAGCAGACACAACCTGTGACCACCCTGCGGCGTGCCAGCTCGCTGCCTGGCTGAGCGGTTGTGGCGAGTGTGCTGACAGGTGGGATGGGGACACCCCAGGCTGATGCGGCCTCTGCTTGTGAAGCAATCTTGTCTCACAGTCCTTCACTGGGGAGGGAGGGGGAGGGATGGTGAACCGAGGCACATGTGTGGGAAGCCACCTCAGGGAACGAAGCAGTTTCATGGACACCAGCAGGGAATGGGACGGGACTGGGGCTTCTAAAAGTGCTGACACATGGTGCCCTTTCTGCCTCCATCAGCACTTTCCCTGAGCCTGTGTTATGCCCCCATAATGACAACTGTCATTAAAAGCCACCATTTAGGGGTGCCTGGGTGGCTCAATCAGTTAAGCATCCGACTCTTGGTTTCAGCTCAGGTCACGATCTCATAGTTTGGTTGGTGAATAAGCGCCCCAGGTGGGGCTCCACACGGAGCCTGCTTGGGATTCTCTCTCTCTCTCTCTCTCTCTCTCTCTCTCTCTCTCTGCCCCTTCCCTGCTCGCACTCCCTGTCTCTCTCAAAATAAACTTAAAATAAAAAAAAAAGCGCCACTTACTACATGCCCAGCACTTTCCACTGATTATTTTCCTTAACTTTCTCAGCCACCCTGTGAAGTAGCTTCCATTGTTATTGCCTGCTTCAAGGTGAAGAAACTGAGGTGCAGAGCATGTAAGTATTTCCCTCAATCTCAGCCAGGGTCCACACCTAGGTCTGGGCTGACCTCCAGGTTGGTCTCCTAAGCACTGGCCCCCTGGCTTCCACGACTCTTTAGGTCGTGCTGGTCCCTGGTGTGTCTCCTCCCCCAACTCAGCTGGGAGCACCGTGAGGGCCAGGGCCACCCCTTCCTCACCTGGGTTCTCTGGACCCTAGTACAGTGCCCAGCATACAGTAAGTCCTCCGTGCGGGCTTTGTAAATGCGCTGAAGGAAAGAGCGAGTGAGTAACTGAGCATCTGACACGGAACTCCTTCGGCTACCGAGGTATTACAGTGAAACACCAGAGGCGAGGACATGAATCCCAGACACCCCTCCCAGTGCTGAGTGCGGTGCACTTCCTCACACATGAAGTTTACCCTCACCCCTGCCTCTGAGGTCCTCTCTGGCCAGGCTCCAGGTTCTGGAATCTGGGATGAATGGGTTCAGCTCATTCACTTCTGTTTACACTGGTGGGGAGAGGTAAAGAGACTGCCCCGCGTCACACAACTGGGTAGTTGGCAGATCCGGGGCCAGTATTCTGGCTCCTGAGTCAGAGCCATGGCGAGAGGACACAAACCATGGCAAAACCACTCCTCGGCCTCCCCTCCCCTATGCCTACTCTCCTGGAAGCTGATGGAGGACTGATGTCCAGGCCATCTTTTCTCTTTGGGTCACAAGTACCTGGCGTTGCCATGGCGACCCGGGGTCTGGAGAACAGCTTTTATGGACAGAGGTCTCAGCCCAGGAGCCGGGGGTGTTTTTATGGCCCAGTGATGGTGATGTGTCTGTTCTTGTGCCCGGAGGAACCAGGGCATGAGGTGTCTCTGAGGCACTGTGCAGTGCCCTTAAACAAGGCAAGTGTCTGAGCAGGTGTCCCGGATCCCACAGCATAAGCCCGGGAGAGCCCGAGGGGACAGGCCAGCTGGGGATCTGGTGATTCAGGGGTTGTTAGTTGCCAAGGGGCTGAGTGGGATGTGTGCACTCCCCCTGGGCCAACCTGGGGGCAGACAAAGTGGGGAGGTGACGGGTGACAGGCTTTGAGGAATGGAGTCAGGGGGAGACTCGGCCAGGGTCTGGGAGACTCTCCATAGAAGTGGTGGGGAAGCCTCGCATGTGCATGTGTTGGGGGCAAGCATGTGCTGCCAGCATGGCTTTGGGGAAGAGGAGGGAGAAGTGGGAAATGGGAGGGGGACCGAGAAGATGAGAAGGGGCAGAGAAGAGCCTCACTCTCTCCAGTGTGCATAGGGACACCTGCCACCCTGTCCCTGTCCTTGGGACATAAAGCAGCAGAACATAGGCCCAGGGAGTGCATCACCCCTCTGGCTGAGAACCATTCCTGAAGGGAATGCCACCTGTGTTCCTCATATCTCAACATTTTCTTCAGTTTTTTTAGGAAGTTCTTTGTGAGGGCTCAGATGCGGGGGAGAACCAGGGCTGGAACAGCCTACTGTCCCCCACTCCCTCCCCCACCATGAATCAAGGGCCTGTAGGACAAATGAGCGTCCTCTACAACGGCCTCCTCTCCTTCCGTGGCCCACCCACCCCACAGGGAGCCTAGCCAGCCCTCTGAGGCTGGCCCAGAGGAACAGCCAGAAGGCATTAATGGGCCACGCTGAGCCTGGCTCTACCTCCCCTTCCCAGTCCCTGCGTTAGTGGAGACCTCTCCCAGCCCCCAGCTCTCCCATCTTCTAGCTGTGGAACTGGGCTATTCGTTTCATTTTGCCAAGTCTTACTTTTCTCATCTGTAAAATGAGGATAACACCTGCTACATAGGACTGGCTTTAATAAAACATGTGGGCACCTTACACAAAGTAAACATTCAGGAAGTGTTTCCCTCCCTTTTGGAGCACCACATGCTCTAAGCATCATGACCGCCATTTCGCAGAAGAGGAAACAGGTTTCAAAACTTGCCCAAAGTCACACAGCTCACTAAGCAATGGGGCCTGGATGGGAGCAGAGACCTGACTCCAAAGCCCATGTCCCGCATCTTTCCTGCTCTTTGAGTCATCTCACAGCATCCTGAAATACCAAGGTCCCCTCCACAGCCACCCTGTGCCCTCCACACTCACAGCACAAGTAAATTAATGCATTAATGCAGACTCTTAAGCCCTCTGAACTCTGGGACACCAGACTCTGTGACAGAAGCCACACAAGGAGAGCCAGGGTCTTTGAGGAGCAGGGTTCATGGGTCATCTGAGCCCAAAGCTCACTGATAGAAACCCTCACCTGGGCCTGAATGGAGTCAACAGAGCCCTCAGTTTGTCCCCCAGATTCTGAGGTGGGGGGTTTCCTACCCCCTCTTCCCTGCTGGGGTTAATCTTCTTGTGAATACTTCCCCTATGGTGCCACGTCCAGTACTATAATTTGTTCCCCCTCTGGAAGGAATGGGGTGCAGTGCTGTGGCATTTGTGATACCCAGTGATGATGGGGATCGCTCCTACTCTGTTCCAGCACAAAGCTGGGTGCCTGAGCAGAAGGGGCCTTCCCCAGCACCACAGGCACAGACACCCCCTCCGCCTAGGAGCTGACTGTCTCAGACAGGGGAGGGCTATGGTCCAGCAGGGTCTGCAGGAGAGGACGTGGGACTCAGCAACAGCCCGCTTCTTCTACCCCTACAGCCTGAAAGCCACAGGAAGAACACACCCCTTGGCCACTGGTGGGCTGGGGCTCTCACCTGCACACACAGGGTGGGCGCTTTCCTCTTTCTGTTAGGATGCATTTGAATCCCATCTCTGCCACCACTTCTAGGCCAAACCCGGGGCATGTTTCCTACTTTCTCTGATCTTCAATGATCTCATTGTGAAAAATGGGAATATTAAAACCATAGGGATTAGCAGAGATTTTTTTCTTGGGGGTGGGGTGGGGAGGGAGGAAGCAGTGACGATTAAATAAGATAGTGAATATTAAAGCCCCAAGGATGTGACTTGGGCATGTCTGCTGTTGAATCAACTTGTAACAATCACCATCGCCTGTTCATTCAGGACCCCCTTAACACAGGCTGGGTCTTCCCCAAGTTCACATCCATCAGGGTATGCCTGCCCACATGTGTGTGTGTGTGTGTGTGTGTGTGTGTGTGTGTGTGTGTGTGAGAGAGAGAGAGAGAGAGAGAGAGAGAGAGAGAGAGGAGATATCCATGCATAGAAAACAATACATGGACAAGATGCCTTCTCAGCTCTAGCGCCCAGTGGGATGGATAGGGGGTTTCCGCTGAAAAGACTGATGGGAGCCACCACTGACAACTCTAGAACAGCCAACAGTAGCAGCCCACAAGTGTCCCCACATCCCTTCTCAGGCTTACCTCATTGTTGACAAAGCAGTACAAGATGGCCACCATCAGCCCCTGGAAACAAGAGTCATATCAGCAGAGAGGAAGCAGGAGGGAGGCACCCTGTAGGTAGACCCTGAAGCTCCTTGGGGCCCCAGCCCCAATATCCACCTCCTCAGACTGGGCATAGCCAGAGTTGGAGTGGTGGGTTCCTTCTCCTTTCCTTGCTGGAGGAACAAGAAGCCCCCTTGCTCAGATACTGAGAGGCTCTTCAACTACCCTCTCCTTGAGGAAGTCTGACCCGAGAAAGTATACCATCTCTGATCGTGGGCCATTTTCCCCTGCCATGGCTCCATCCGTTCATTCAGCAGACCCAGCATTCCCAAACTGTGATCTACATGCGTGTGCACATATGTGTAAGGGCACATGCATGGGCTTACATGCAGTGGCCCTCCCACAAGCCTCCTGAGGGGCTGAGACCAGGTTCTCATATATCTATACCCCCCAGTGACACTCATACACCCTCAGCATCATCTGATACCAGTGGGGAGGTTGAGTTTCTGACTTTGGAAACCACATAACCTGGAAAATCTTATTTCAACATCTCTGAGTATCAGTTTCCTCCTTGGTAAAATCGGATGATCCTGCCCACCTCCTGGGATGCTATGAGGATTAAATGCACGATGTGTGCAAAGCCCCTGGTGCCCAGTAACAAACAGCCTGGTAGATGGCAGTTGTGATGCCAGGCTGGATGCCCACAGTTACATCTGGGAAGGCTTCTTGTCCCACGCGCGTATAGAAAAGACTGGCCTGGGTGCTAGACACGGATTTAGCCCTGGCTCTACTCCACCCATAGCCCTCTGGGCATGGCCCACTTTCCCCCGAGGCCTCAGGGCGCCCATCTGCATGGTGCAGGCTGGTCTCTGCCCCACTCCCACTCTGACACTTGGCAAGTGAGGACCCCCAGCCATGAGGTCACCTGGAAGGAGGTGAAGGAGAGCTCTGTGAACAGCTTGATGAAGCGCAGCGTCCCCCGTGCATGTTCATCCATCACAAAGGCAAAGACGACCTCATGGGTTCCCAGCAGGGGGATGAGTGTCAGTGTGGACTTGGCAAGTCTGGGGGTGGGGTGAAGACATCATTCTGGAATTGTCCCATGGACGTGTATCCCCTTTCTGTGCCCCAAACCCACACCTGAGTGACAGACATTCTCCCACCCCAAATACGCTGGGATGGGCTGCCTGGTGGGGAGGAAGTAGAGGTCAAGACACCCAGAAGCCCAGGAGATGCCCAGGTCCAGGGCTAAGGGCAAGGCTTGGGGTCCTGGCCTGGGCCAGGTGGGAGAAGAAGGTCACGCGATGTTCCAAGCTCTGAGCCCCAGGATCTCTATTCTGGAAGCAAGGGTGAAGGGCGCCCATGAAAGCCAGCTCAGGTACATCACCTGCACTTGATGTCCGTCTTGCACATGAGATTGGCTTTCAGTTTGGACACCACAATGCAGATGACCCGGACAAAGATGAGGAAGTTCACCTGCAGGGCAGATGGGAGGGAGTGGCTGGAGGCCCCCTCAAAACACCCCCCTGTTTCCAGGCCTTCCCCCAGCAACACCTGTCCAGCCAGAACTGCCACTCCCACCCCCACACCATCACTCACCCCAATGGCAAAGAGAATGGGCAGCCGGATAATGAGCCAGTAATTCATGTTTGAGTTCCTGGTCCAGCAGCTGGAGAGGAAGAGAAATACACAAGTACCCAGTTGGACACACAGAGCCCCCAGCTCACAGTGCAGGTACAGGGACACACAAACACATGTGGCCATGCAAAGTGACCCTCACAGAGCCACATAAATGCTGCCACAAGGAGCTACCCAGTCCCATAGACTCATGCAGAGTCCTTCAAGCCACAAACACACACACACACACACACACACACACACACACACACACACCCCTAAATACATGGTCACACAGAGAGATACACACAGCCCTTTGTGAACGAACAGTCATGATGCCTAGCATCATACACAAAATAGCAGGAACATTTCACAGTTATTATAGAAAAGTCATTGCATACCCCATGGACCCAGCACCATTTGTTATCACCCAGTCCCGGGAAGGGATAAGGAAGGGGTACTAAGGAACTAAATTCATAAATTAAGCTCCTGATCCCTCGGTTTATCCTCCCAACAGGTGGTAGCCATGTACCCCAGGGGCCAGGGAATCCCAGGGGGGTTTGAGGATGGGGACCTCAGCACACCCATGCCCAGGAGCAGGACACTCACCCTTCATCCTCATAGAGGTACTTGACAATGCCCCAAGGGATAACAAACAGCAGGGGGACACCTAGAAGAGAGAGGGGAAGAGAGAGGGGAGAGGGCTGGCAGGCCTGACCCACCACCATGCACACCCAGAGGCCTCTATTTACCCAGGCCTCTCCCACCTCCAGCCCTTTCCCTCACCTGACTCCAAAACCACTTTCTAGCAGGTTTGGAACTTGGATGGTCTGGGAGCCTGGGGGAGTGGAGGCAGCAGGAACACCTCCGTGCCCCCACCGCCCATCCCTGCCCAACTCCCTGGAGTCTTCCTCAGAGAGAGGATCGCACCAAACTGTGGCTGTATCTGAGATAAGACGAGATCGGGTGCGTTCAGGGTGGTATGTCCGTAGACACTGTGGCTGTATCTGTCCTAACCAGTCCCCCCCATCCCAGGCACACTGTGAGAGCTTACCCCCAAGTCCAGGCTGAGACATGAGGATGCAGACACCAGAGTAACAGAGGACAAGGCCATGGAGTGGGAAGAACATTCTAGATGAGGTGGAGCAGGCCAACCCACTGATGCCCTTCTCCTCCTGCTGCTGCCCATGTGCCCATCTCAGTCAACTCCTTCAGGCTCCAGAAGCCCCTCCAGCTACCTGTTCTCTACCCGCATGCACTACAAGTGGCTGGGCAGAAGCCTGGAGTACAGACAGGGGCCCCATCCTTGATGCCAACAGCCCAACCAATGGCACAGTGGCCCACGGTAACAACAGCTCCAATGTAACACTTTCCACTTGACTGAGACTCAAGTGGTGTGGCAGGCAGCCTCTAGGAAGTTTCCCAGCGACCCTCACCTCCTGGTATCTACACCACCATACAGGCTGTGCTGTATCGGGATTGGTCTGTGTGACCAAGAATGTACTCAGAAGCGATGGCAGGTCACTTCTGAGATCAGGTTATAAAAGACTGTTAAAAGGTTAAAAAAGGCTTGTCTTGGGCTCTTTCTCAGTCTGATCACTTGCTCTGGGGGATGCTGGTTGCCATGTCATGAGGGCACTCACCCAGCCAGTGGAGGCCCCTGTGGCAAGGAATGGAGGCCCCCAGCCCACAGGTAGCAAGGACCTGCACTTCCTGCCAACAACCTTGTGAGTTTGCAAGGGATTCTCTGACTCCACTGAAGACTTGCTGTGACAGCAGCCCCAGCCAACAGCGTGTCTGCATCTCTGTTAGAGACCTTGAGCCAGAGGCATGCAGCTAAGTTAAACCAGATTCCTGCCCATAGAAACTGCAATAGGAAATTGCTGCTTTAACCGGTGAAGTTGTGGGGTCATCTGCTCTGCACCAGGAGCTAACGCATCCAGCTGGTTCCCAGTTCCTTGAGGGTACAGCGTCACTCATTCTCAGAGCCTCAGGGCTCGGCTCAGCCTGAGGGCTCAATATGTTTGCTGAATTCAAATGGACTGTCCATCCTCATGACAGATGGAGATGAATGAGGAGCTCTGGAGGGTTCAGGTGGGACTAGAGAGCAAGGCTGCCAACCCACGCTCATGCCAACCACTTTCGGTGGCTTTCTGCACCAGCTCTCCATGCCTGTCTCTGTGGGTGCCCCTCCCGGGGTTGGAGATGTGGGCGTCGGGTATAGGTGAGTATGTGTGTGTTAAGGTGTGGACACAGATGTGAGTGTGTGGTGGGCAGGGCCATGCACAGGCATGTGTAGCTTTAGGGGGTCTCTCCCCAGAACACACTGCCAGGGCAGAGCCCCATTGACAGTCCTTCCTGTCATCACGATCCATGTCCTCAATAGCCATTCCCAAGCAGTTCATCTGCCAGGAGCTACTGTGCATGACAGTGAAGACAGGGGGAAGCCAAGAAACTCACAGCTGGTCAGCATTCTTCATCAGGTACCTTCCTCCTTGGCCATTTGTTTTTACACAAACCAGACCTCTGAACATCCACGATGCTTTAGTAACAGGCCTTCATGAGACTGGACAAGGGATGGGTGGCTTCCAAAGGCCTCAGAATATAGCACAGAGCCTGCCACAATGAAGATGCTCAGACAGCACGGAAGGAAGGAATGATGGGTGGATCCACTGGGAAGGGAAACTCTCCTGGCAAGAACATGCCAATTCCCTGAGCCACACACACATGTGGAAACCTCCTTCCTGGGCATTCCCAGCCACCTCTTGTCCTTTTTCTCTGAGATCCCACTCAGAATTGGGGAGCTCACTCATGGCGTCAGCAAGACCTGGTGAACTTCACTCATTTACCAGCCTCTCCTTAACAAGGCCTTTTCTGCCACATGCAACCATTACACACCCCCTCATTCCCTGCTGGCTGCATCTTTCTCCCATTTAGAAAATCAACAAGACAAGCTGGAGAAAAATTTCACATTAAGAAACACAGAACTGGCCCCGAGAAGCAATGACTCCCTCGTCCATCACTTGCCTCCCTCCCTTGCAGCCTCCCTGTGGTGGGTAATGGGGCACCAGCTGCCCATGGATGGCAGCAGGAGCTGACGTCTTTTGGGACTCCCCAGCTGTGTCAGAGTTGTAATTTTAATTCTTCTGCTTGCATGTGAAGCTAAAAGTTGTTTCCAAGCATCCCAAAGTGGGCTAGGTCTCCTGGCCCCACAGAAGAGCTCTTTGGAAAGCTTTCTCTCTGTCCTCTGTCTTTGTCCCTCTCTCTCTGCACCTCCCCATCCCAATTCCTCAAGATAAGGGTGTTCTCATTGGGAAGGAAGGTCCCCCAGGTCCTACCCAGGTGCCCCTCAGACTCTGAGCCCTGAGCTGCAGCATGAGGTGGTGGGAAAGGATGAGCTCCCCTTCCCCCTCTTCCATTTCCCATTCAGAAACCTCCAGGATGCCATGTGTACCCACCAACCCTCCAGCAACCACCCCCGCTCCTCTGCACACAGCACAAGGTCCCCTCTGATTGTTCCTGCCCTCAGGTCACCATGGAGACAGGCACTAACAGTGTTGACGCTATTTCCCAGAATGGACAGACATAGTCCCCCACCTTAAGGACAGCCTCCCCAGAGCCCCCTCAATGACCTAACACCGCCCCACCCTCCATTAGCTGCAGGGCTCTCCAGCTGCCCACTGCCTGGGTGACTGTCCTACCCTCGGAGGGGTGGAAGAGCAGGGAAGGATGGGCCCGTGGGGAGGTGGGGGAAGGGTGAGAGCAGGGAGTTGTACACAGAGGAGAGACCCACCTGCCCAGAGGCCTGAGCTCGCTCACCTTGTCTATTAAGGGACCAAAGAGGCAATGCAGGACAGAGAACTTTCCATGACAGGCAGCAGCCCAGGGCCTGGGAGTCAGGAGGCCTGGTTCCAGTGCTTGCTCTGCCTGCAAAGCCCTGCCCTCTCTGGGCCTTGGGTGCCTTCAAGACACTGATCACCCTCTTTAGAGGTACTCTTCTACAACAGGGCCACAAAGAGCCAGGTGGCGGAGGGACACCGGTAAAAGGGAATTCAGGGTGAGGACAGGGGCAGGGAGGCTGAGAGGGCCAGAGAAAGCGCACAGCCAGGGGGCCAGACAACCTGTGGAGGCTTCCTGAGGAGGCGGGCTGGACCGAGGACAGCCTTGCAAAGGCTCAGAGGCAGGAGCCAGTATGGGAGGGGGACATCACACGTGGCTGTGACTGAGGCGGGGAGTCCCCAGTGGTCAAAGTAACCTGAGGCAGGCGAAGGAAGGAATGACAGTGGTGAATGAATGAACGGCAAGCTTGAGGTGGAAGGCAGGCTCCTGTGGCGTGGGCAGGGACACTGGCAGATTAGGAAGGGCCAGAGGGCAAGGCCCATTCTCTGGCTCCATCCAGGGGTGAGGGGCTCCCGCGGGCCTCTCCAGAGTCAGCGCTGTTGCCTGTGTTTTCCCTGTAGTGGGGTGGGGGTTGGGGAGCTGCTGGTGGGCTTCTCAGCCCCTGTTCTCATCAGAATCGCACGCGGCGAGAGGCAGAAGCACAACCAGAAATGTTCCAGCAAAAAAAAAAGACACGATAGTTCTCGGCAAACTTTTTTGGCTAGAACATTTCCAGCTGGGCTCCAGGCACATCTGCGGTCCACCCTTTCCTCAGCTGGCTTCTGGCTGCCAGCCCTGCCCTGCCCGGCTCTCCTCTAAGCCCTCCTCTTCATCATCAGCTGACAGAGCCACAGCCCCTCAGCTCTCACCTCCTGACCCCTTACCCTGAAGCCCAGGACTCTCCACTTCCCTCAGGGCCTGGGTACCAAGGACTGGGTATGGGACTCCATCCCCAGGGGTCTTAGCAGTAGAGGTATTTGAGGACAGTGCATGGCTGCCCATGGTGTGTGTGTGGTGTATCTGGCCAGATAGGGGGGAGGCCTGTGTTTCCATTAGGTGGGGCAGGTGATGCAGAGACGGGAGGGTAACCATAGCCCTCTGCAGTGAGTCCCGTGCCCAGGACAGAGTTATCCAGTGGGCCCTGCCCTTGGCCCAGCAGTGTGTTCTGAGCACCAAGAGGGCTTCCTGGGGGCAGCCTGAGGGCAGTAGTCCCAAGAGAGGTCAGGGTCCCCCGCCTCCCATGCCATGGATTGGGGTGGAAGAACACGTAAGATGAATGATAGTCGACCTTACCCCAGCCTATGCTCAGATAGAGCCTGAAGATGCGCTGTTCGGAGAAGACTGAGAAGGCCAGCAGCGTGTACAGGTACACGCCCTCCACCAGGAGCCAGTAGTAATTGGCCGCCACGCAGTACTGCATGAGCAGGAACACCAGGCGGCAGCCCAGAGAATCCTGGGGGCAGAGGAAGGGTCCCCAGGAGACATAGCTCTGCCTCTTGCCTCTCTTGATCCCCCTCCCCATCCTGCCCCAGATGCAAATACCGGATGAGAAGCCCTAACACCATTTTGCCAGGGCCAAGGCCAAGAAGTTGACCTGCTTTAGCTCACTGAATCACTACCCTGAGTAGAAGAAGCTAATATTATCCCCATAGAGGTGAGGAAACTGAGGCTCAGAGAAGCTAAAAGACTTGTCCCAAAACTATACAGCTAGTAAGTAGCAGAGCTGGGATTCAAGCCTGGGTCTGTTTCCAAAGACCATTTCCTGTGTCAGACAGAACTTCTTAAGCGCAGGGAGGGTGTCTACATCTTTAGACTGGGGGCTCCCCAGGGTGGACTGCCTCTCCCATCCGACTGGGGACTCCCTAAAGACCAGGTGTGGCAGTTCTTGCCTTTCTTTGTGCCAGGCCTGGGTGGGGTTGGGGAGGCTTGCCTTCACTGACTGTCCATCCCTCCCCAGGCCCTTCCTGAACACATCACACACCTGGTAGGAGAGGAGCCCATCCCATTGGTGCTGCTGGGGGGCTGTGCTGTACATCCACTTGAGTACCGCGTCCCTGATGAAGACGGACAGCGCTCGGAGGATGAAGGACGCAAACAGGTTCAGGTGGATGTAATTCCGGGTGCAGTGCAGGTGTCTGTGGGAGAAAACAGGGCTCTTTCCTAGCAAGGTGGCTAGCAGTTCTGCTCCACAACCCCCCAGTTCAGGCTAACATACACCGCAGGCATGTTTCTGCATCTGGGACTGAGCCTCTGTCTTTTCTTCCTCTGAAAATGCCCCTCTGCCTCGTATCCTTGAAAATTCTTGGGTCCAATATAAGTCCTGCCTCTCCATGGAGCCTTCAGGTGTGTGGTCACTGCCACCACCCACCCTCATCCACACTATCTTCCTCTCTACAGCATCTTCTTCTCTACAAAGTCATGTATAATCCAAGTGATTTATGTGTGAAGACCACCTTCCCCAATGGAGACTTTGCTTTGCTTCTTGAGGACAGGACCCACATCTCACATGCTTCAGGGGCAGACTAGGGCTAAGCACGTAGTAGGAATTCAAACACTATTAGACACAATTTCAATATCCTTTCATGTAAAAACACAGAGCAAACTGCAAATACAAGGGCGTTTTTTAACCTGATAAGGGCTATCTACCCAAACCCGGAACAAACATCATTCTTAACTGAGAAATTTTATAAGAATTTCCTTCAAAATCAGGAAAATAAGGATTATCTAGCCTTACAAAACTATCATCACATCTATTCACCATTGCAATATAGATCCTGGCCACTGTAAGAAGGCAAGGGGGAATAATCCATACGAATTGGAGATAAAGGAACGAAATTTTCATTATTTATAGATAGTAGAGTATCTTCATAGAGAATCTGAGATAACCTACACACAAATTATTAGAACTGATAGATTTCATTCAACATGGCTGCTGATGTGTGTTTATATATATCAGCAATAAACAAATAAAAAGTAAATTTTAAAGATTCATATATAATTTTGTAATTGGCTACATAGAAATAAGTCTAACAGAAGATGGGCAAGATCTCTATAGAGGATACAATAACATTTGCTTAAAATAGTTAGACAAGACTTAAAATTACACATTCATGGATAGACTCACTATTTTGAAGGTGTCAATTCTCTCCACATTAACTGATAAATAAAAAATACCTATAATAAAAATTTCAACAGTGTTGATTTTTTGTTTTCCTGGAACTCTCAAAACGTATAAAGAACCAAGGGTCAAGCATAGTCTGGACCCTCCTAAAGACCCACAAAGTAGACAGGGCACCTGGTGGCTCAGTCAGTTAATTATCCGACTTTGGCTCAGTTCATGATCTCACAGTTTGTGGGTTCAAGCCCCGCATCAGGTTCTGTGCTGAGAGCTCAGAGCTGACAACCCAGGCAAAGATAACTCTTGCTGCATGGAAGAGTAAGCCCTACAAACCCAAGGGGGAAAGGATGAGCTGTTACTAAATGGTACTGGACCAATTATATATATATATATATATATATATATATATGTGTGTGTGTGTGTGTATATATATATATGTGTGTGTGTGTGTGTGTGTGTGTATATATATGTATATATACATATGAAAAATAAAATTAAATCTCTTATTTTCACCATAGACAAAAATTAATTACAGGTGGATTAAAGAACCATAAGAGAGAGAGAGAGAATCATAAATAGAGCCTGACATGGGGCTTGATCCCATGACTCTGGGATCATGATCTGAGCCCAAATCAAGAGTCAAACCAATTGAGCTATCCAGGCACCAAGAAAAGATTCCTTAAACAAGATCATAAAGGAGTTTGGTCTTTGGAAAAAAATTGATAGTTTTTTTTATCAACTGGCAAAATTAATCTTTATCAATTGATAACATTTAGTGATAAACTTTATTAATAAAAATGGATACACTGATATATTTCATTTCATTAAAATTAAGGACTTCCATGCATAAAAGGCACTATAACGTGAGTGAAAAAATCAACCACAGACTAAAAGAGGATACATCCTAACTTAGGATCCAGGATATATAATGAATGACCAAAGAAAAAAGAAAAAGCCAAATAAGCCAATTAAAAAGTAAGCAAAGGATAGGAATAAGCAATTCATAAAATGAAACACAAAAATGCTTGATCTCTCTAGGAATCAGGGATATGCAAATTAAAATCATGAGATATCTCATACCCTTCAGATTAGTAACAGGTGAAAATACTAAATATTAGTGAGGATGTTAAGTAAAGGGAACTCCCATTTATTGCTGGTAAGAGGGAAAACTGGTATGACCACTTTGGAGAGTAACTTCACCTAATAAGTTTCCTTTTTTTTTTTTTTTGTAACATTTTTAAAAAACACTTATTTATTTTTGAGAGAGAGACAGACAGACAGAGCATGAGCAGGAGAAGGGCAGAGAGAGAAGGAGACACAGAATCCAAAGCAGGCTCCAGGCTCTGAGCTGTCAGCACAGGGCCCAATGCAGGGCTTGAACCCACTAACCACGAGATCATGACCTGAGCCGAAGTCAGACACTTAACCGACTGAGCCACCCAGACACCCCTAATAAATTTTCAAAAGCACATGGCATTCAGACCAGGCAATTCTACTCAGAGGTACATGCCCCTGAAGAAATGCACAAGGGGTCATAAGTAAGAATTTGCCTTGTAGCAAGGTTTGTAATTCAGAGAAGAAAAAAAAAAGGAAACACCTCAAATATCCATTAAAGTGATAAAAATAAATTGTAATATATTATACAATAGAGTCTGGAGTGATGGTTAATATAAAACAGAACTACCTGCATTAACATAAATGAATCTCACAAAAACATTGCAGGCCAAAAATAACATTGCAAGAGTATATACAACATACCATTAAAATATGCAAAGTCCACAGCTATCTATTTGTACAGATACTATAAATGTGGAAAAAGTATAGAGATGCCTGGGGATTATAAGTAGCCCCTTCAGGGCTTTCCTCTGGTTGTGGGGGTGGAGGGCAGTGGCAGGGTGGGCTACCCAGGGCAGCATGCCTGTGTTGACTGTGTGGTAGATGTTAGCTCTCGGGCTCGGCATTGGGTGTGCCAGTGATCAGTATCAGCCACTGTATTTTAATATCTCTGAAATACTTCATAATAAAAGGGGAGAATATTCACCGAGTGAATGCATCTATCAAACACTGACTGTGCCCAGACTGACTGTGCCAGGTGCCATGGAGGTGACAGGAGGAATGAGGTTTGTCCTGTTTCTGTGGGGCTGGTATCCTGAGGTCCCTGCACTCAGAATTGCTCCTGACCTTGAACCCAGCCCCCCTGGCTTATCCTCCACCAAGTGCAGAGGGAGTGGGAAGAACATGGTCCTCTGGAAGGAATGGCTCATGGAGGTTAGACTTAAGGAAGACCTTTTCCAGGGGGCCGATAAGCTCCAAAGAGGGCAGAATCTCTAAACCCTTGAGCTCTTACCTAAAATCAAACTGAATTCCTGATGATTTAAGCTTCACATGCTCAGCTGAAGGGGATGTCCCCTAATCCTACCACCCACTATGAAGGTCTGGGGATATGTGCTTTGTGTGTTCGTGTGCTGTTTGTTTTTTTCTTTTTTGCAGTATTCTATGTAGGCTCTTACGGAGTAGAGATATGGCAAACGGGGCCATATCCCGTGTTTTCAGCCTCGTATTCAGTGGACAGGCTTTCCGGAGATCTCCTAAGAGAAGAACCTGCAGCACTGTCACGTTAGTTTGGTGCTCCCTCATCCACTGGGGACAGCGCGGGGAGCTGGAATGAAACAGCCCCTCCGGGCCCCCAGGCCCCTTACCTGAAGCTCAGGAGGATGGCCGAGGCGATGACCAGAGCGGAGAAGGAGAGTGTGTAGCCCACCGTGTAGATGATGGAAAAGGACAGGAGCTGCTCCTCTGGGGAGCTCTGTGTGCACATGAGGGATACAGTGCACGTGAGGCAGCCCACGCCCTCCTCTCCCACATCTGTCTTTCCCATGGGACAGGGAGAGGTGGGGCCCCAGGTCAGGCTGCACCAGGGACTTCAGAACTAAGAAAGAAAATAACCTATGGCAATGGTCCTTGGATTTCCAGGGCCTTGTCCCAAGGCCAGTGGGGTGAACACACATGGCCTCTGCCCAGCAAGCATGGTGTGCAAAGCCCCCAGAAGCAGGGGGATAGACAAGATGGCCACAGGCCAGCCCATCAGATGCCCAGGGGCCCTGCTCCAGTGTGGCTGGGACCCTGTTACCCCTCACTGACTCGGAGCCCCCATCTGCAACTCACTCTCTCCCCTCGCTTGGACTCCTCGCACTCAGACAGGTTCCTCCAGGGCAGGCTGGAGTTGTCCTGGCGCAGCCACAGGCCCTCGGCTGTGCAGAACCGGTACACGTGGCCCTGCAGCACTGGGGCAGAGAGACGTGGGAGCTGAGCCCAACACCACAGAGCCCTCATTCCTCCCTGCCCTGAGGGCCCCCCTGCTCCCCCAGGACTGACCTCTTGGAGTTGGCAACACCTCTGAGACACACACACACACACACACACACACACACACACACACACATTCAGGCCTTCCTCTCTTGCCATGTGCCCATTTGGCCCAGGGACAGGAAAGGCAGTCGCTAAGGGCCACCCAGCACCACCTTCAGCCTTTCCTCCTGGCCACCCTGGGATAGAGTTTGAGGAAGCCATGTTTTTGAGATAACTCTAGCCCATTCCCATGTCCTGCCTCCAGCCTCAAATCACACTGCTGACAAGGTCTGGTGGTGAACACCAGTGGCCTTCAACAGCTCCATAGCCACCCACTGTGACTTCGAATTTTCAGGACTAGCCCCTGCCTCCCTCCAACACTTCATAGACAGAGCAGATCCTGGGAACAGATGGGCTCAGAGCTCCTGAGAGGAAGAAAGAGGCACAGCACTGCCTCCGGGAGCCTGTCTGAGGGGGAGACACAGTCCTACCCTAGGGAGCTCCAGTCTGAGTGGGGGAGACACAGCCCTGCCCTCGGGGAGCCCCATTCTGACAGGGGAGACACAGCCCTGCCCTCAGGGAGCCCCAATCTGAGTGAGGGAGACATAGCCCTGCCTCACGGAGCCCAAATCTGAGGGGAGACACAGTCATGCCTTTAGGAAGTCCTAATCTGATGGAAATGACAGAGTCTTATGCTCAAAGACAGCCTGATCTAAAAGAAATCCAATGTCAATGGTACAGGCACAGCCCTTGGAGACTCTCCATTCAAAGACGGAAAACCCGGCTCCTCCCTTCGAGTAGCCCCTAGTGAGATGCTGGGGACAGAGACTGCCCTCGGAGACCTCCCAGTCTGAGAGGAGGGAGAGATCCAGCCCCTGTCCTCAGAGAGCTTTCATTCTGAAGGAGGAAGCACAGTTCCTGGCTCCAGGGAATCAAGACTCTCACAGGAAAAAACAGTCCTCAGAAAGTAATAACATAAATGCAAACCAAGAGAGACCAAACACAGGCCCAACAGAGCTGGGGTGGGATGCTGTCTGTGCTCATTCACACACATCAAGTCTGACCTGCCCTGCTGGCCCCCTACCCAGGGAGGTGGGTGGCTTGTGGTCCCTGGTTCCCTGTGAGGTCATGAAAGGGAATAAGGGGTTTACTTGTGCCTGGGAGGAAATGCCTCATTGCCTTCCCGGAGGAGAATGTAAGTCTGACCCCAGAGCCAGGAACCCGGGGACAAAAACGAGGTGAGGGTTAGCACAGGAAGATGAAGGAGGGAAACTGGAGCCAGGACAAAATGTAAAAGATTTAAAAATTCTAAAGGACTAAAAGATTTTAAAGACCAGTCATGGGATGAAGGTGCAGTGGGAGGGAGGGAGGGAGGAAGGATGGGAAGCACTGGAGGCCCTGGTCACAAGTTTCCAGGTGGAGGAGTAGCAGTAAGAACTGTGTGTGGGAAGAGGCTCATTAACATGTGTACATGAGGGTAAAAGCAGAGGGAGGCAAACCTTAAGAGACTCTTAAACAAAGAGAACAAACTGAGGGTTGCTGGAGGGGAGGTGGGGGGGGGGGTTGGGCTAAATGGGTGATGGGCATTAAGGAGGGTACTTGTTGGGAGGAGCACTGGGTGATGTATGTAAGTGATGAGTCACTGGGTTCTACTCCTGAAACCAAGACTATACTGCATGTTAACTAACTCAAATTTAAATAAACAAATTAATTAAAACAAAAACAAAAACAAAAACTAATGTGTGCCTGATGGGAGTGAGGCAAACCCCAGGGCCTGCCCTGAAAGGGCCCAGCAGGGACGCAGCCATCTAGGCCAGGGATCTGTTTTACCTTTCACAAACTGTCAGTCTACCCACTGTTGTTATGTATCAGGTACCTGCAGGGCCTATCGCTCAGACCCTTTTCCTTCCAGACCCCCAACCCCCAGTCACCCAGTGCAGCGTCCCTGTTCACTCCTCTCCTTTCTCCCCCTCTTTCATAAAACCTGAACCAAGGCCCTCTTCAGGAGACCAAAACATCTTGTGATACAGTAGAGTAAATCACCTCGCAGTATCAATGCTTCTAGAAGAACATTTTAAGAGACTTGACCTGGAAGAGAAACAAAAACCTAAAAATCTAGTGACAGGACTTCCGGCAGCGAAAAGAGCCTGAGTCCCAATACCCCTCAAATGCATTTATGAACAAAATCAGGCAAAGGCAAAGGCAGAGGAGGGGAGGCATGTGGTCTGATTTTAGCAGATTTTAGCTCTTCTCGAGCCCCGAGTGCCCCTCTTATCTGCTGCACGGATGCCTGGAATTCTTCACCAGGGGTCGAGTCTTCTGATAGAAGGCCAAACCAGTCTTCAGAGCACTGATGGGGATCTGGGCTGACCCCAGAGGGAGTGAGACTGATGTCAGGGCCTTCACTGGCAGCCCATTTTGATGACAGCAAGGAAGGAGGAAGAGAAGGCAGAGGGACCAAGGGAAGGGAGAGGACATGGTAATGGGGCACAAACCACCGAACTGCCCATTTACCCAGGACTTAGCCCACAGCAGTGTGACCCCAATAATACCCCAATAATACCACAGCTAGATGCACCCACAATTGCTGGTTCCCTCCCTACATGCACCTTATACAACCTCTCTACAAGCTACACACAGTATTGGTTTTCAAACACCTGCTGTACGCTTGACACCCTTGAACATCACGACCAAGTTACAAGGTAGGCATGTTAATCCCATTTTATGGATGAAGAAACTGAGCCTCTTAGTGTCCAAGTGACTTGCCTAAGCTCACCCAGCCAGGAAGTAGCAGAGGCAGGATTCAAACACCTAGCTCTTTGCCTTCAGAGGTCAAAAGTTAGCAGCCAAATTCACTGCTAACAGTCAACAATGGCCATGTGCCATTTCTCTTCTGCCCTTTAGGGCTTGGGTTTGCTAACATTCAGCATCCTCCCAGTAGATCCTCTTACCAGTGTGGATCCCCAGCAGCCTGCACTATTCCTGGGCCTTCTGTTGAGGGCCAACAGGGAAGATGGGGAGGTGGTAAATGCACAGATGTGTCACTGGCACAGTATCAAGAGATCACTGCGTCCCCGAGAAGCTCGGGGAACCTATGAGAGTGTGTCTGTCAATTATCCCTCATTAGCAGCCAGTATTAAAAGCCAGGCTCATTCTTGGCCAGGCCTATGGTCCCCAGATGCCCATCTTGGCTGGAGGTAGGGAGGGTCCAGGCACAGCCCTGCTTATCAGCCCAGCTTTATCTGGCCCAGGAACTGCTGGTAAATCACAGCCAGGGGATTGGCTCTGGTCTTGTCAACACCAGGAGGCAGTCGGCCACATGCCAGGAGGCCCAAGGATATTTCATTAAGTCAGACCCTGGTGCTGGAAATAAAACCCCCAATTAAACACTTCCCCTCCCGGAAACTGCAGCGGCGTCTGTAATCAAGCTAACAGCCGCCCTTCCACGTGGATGCAGGCTCTCAGGGCTGTGGAGAGCTGCTCATGAATCCATTAGTTCTTGCACCCTTAGCAACAACAGCGGCCAGCAAGGACTACTGGGCCCCATCTGACAGACGGGGAAGCTACGATTCAGAGACGGTAGTCACAGTCCCATCCCATCGTGGTGGAGTGAGGGTCAAAGGCAAGGCTAGAACTGAAGGCATCAGCTTGGGGTGGGAGACAGCAGGGGTAGTGCAGCAATCATGACCCAGGAGAACTACACAGACCCAAGATCAAATCCTGGTTCTGCTCTCAACCAGCTATGCAGCCTGGGGCACACCTCCCCAGGTCTCAGTTTTCTCATCTGTGAAATGGGAACCATAATGGCTTCTCAGGTCTGTGGTGTGAGGATTAGGAGATAAAGCACGAGAAGTGCCTGGTGCATAGTAGGCCTTCATGACATGGTCACATTGAAAGCCCTGCTGATGCCTTCACCCCAATTTCTCAAAAAAGGCACTCCCCCACTGAGGATGGGGCTGGAACTCAGGACACCACCTTGGCCACAACTCCAGGGCCAAGCTCTGGCCTCGGTCTCTCTGTGGCAACGCTGGCCTGCCATGAAAGCTCCTGGGCTCCACATTACTCAAGGGAGGCACCTGTCAGAGTTTCCGAGAATTGTGAGTTATAGGCCATTTTAAAAGCATTTTATGACTTTCATGTAATGAGAACTAAACTAACAAACAGGTACAGATCAGGAGGGGGTGCAGCTAATGAGACCAGAATGATTTGCAACAAGCAGATCAGCTGTTTGTGGGTAAATGAGGCTGCTGGATGGCCCTCAGAGAGGCGGCAACAGGCTCTCAGAAGCCACTCAAGCCTTCTGGTTTACAAAGTCTTACTGACACCAGGCATCTCGTTCGAACATGTTCCTTCCTTGACTCATCTGCTTCTGCCCTCTGGAGTCCCAAATTCTGAATTAGAGGGCTCAGAATTCGAGGATGTCTGAGGGCATCCGGTCCCTAGGACATCGTGTGGTTCTGAGGCCTGAGGCCTGGCCCCATCTACAAGGTGATGCCTGGATGTCCTCCCTTCCTGGAGGGTCCCCCTCTCCCCTTCTCCCCCCTTCTCCAACTCCCTTTTGTTTCAGGCCTGGCTCTGATGTCACCTCTCTCTGGAAGCCTTCCTGATGCCACACCCCAGGCAAAAGAGGTGGCTCTGACCTCCCTCAGCACCACTTCCTGGGCCAATGAGCTGACCTCTTCAGCCCTGTGGTGAGGAGTCAGCCCTCCTCCCCAGAGCTGACCTCTTCAGCCCCATGGAGAGGCATCACCTCTTCTCCGCAGCACACCCACACACACTCCTGAGGTCTCATTAGTACCCCTATCTCCTGACATAGGCCTGACCCGAGTGTCTGGTAATTGTTTTCATCCTTTCTCTAGTCGCACATTCCTTTGCCCTGCTCTGCACCCCCCGGGGACAGCATCACTTGGGCTCCCTGCCCTCTATGAGTCTGGCCAATGGGAGGCACAAGTAAAAGGTAGGAGGGCCCCGTGTGGCCACAGCCCTGCTGGGTGGCCTCCCCATTCCCCCTCCACTCAGATCTAGGAAGGCTAAAGCTTCTGCCTCTTAAAAGTCCTTGGTGCTTTATACACCTTACTGGCCCCTTAACCCTGCCCCGCCCCCTGTAAGTGACCCCTCCGTTAAATTCTTCTCAAATCCCCAGCTGAGTGTGTTTTCCTCCAGGACCCTGCCTGCGACACCCCTGTCCTTCTTGCTGCCCACCGCCCCACTAACTCACACTGTGAAGTTTCTCCACAGGCTGTTCCCCTTGATCAGCCCAAGAATGCTCCAGTACTGCCCCCTTCTGCTTTCACAATCCCTGGGTGAGTGTTAGGGAAGTCCCTGGTGCCAGCCTCTGCCAAGGGGACCACCAGGACAAGCCAGAGACTGCAATTATGCTGTGGGAGCCCACGGTGGGTCTCCCTACAGGTCCCTAACTCAGAGAGGGGAGGGTCAGTGATCCTGAGTGTCAGGAAAGGGAGTGAATTAGCCTGGTGAGTCAGGGAGGGGGTGGAGACTGGCAGGGGGCCTATGCAGTGGCCAATATCTTCGTGGAGAAAGCAATAAAACTGTGTTCGCTCATAAACGGGCACCACCAGGACCTATTTCCTGCTCAAATAAAATTAAAGGTGATGGATGGAGCTGCGAGTGGCAGGCAGAGCTGGGGGCAGCTTAGTGTTGAGTGATGGACCCTGTCCTGGGCCCGGCTCCCTGGGGTCTAGAGGCCCAGCCCAGGCTGGCCAAGCAGCCAGTCCCAAACCTCTCGGAGGCAGGGAAAGTCTGTGTATTGGGGGAGGTGGGGGAGGTAAGTAGGGTGGGTGGAGAAAATTAACAGCAACCATTCTTCAAGAACCTGCAATCCTCCCAGCGACCCTTATCACCGGATTTATCCCATCTCCCAGATGGGCGAGTGAGCTGAGGCACAAAGCGGTCTGGGAATCTGCCGAAGCTCACACAGCCACTCACAACATCGGCAAACAGAACCATTAGATTGTAGGACTCGACTTTTTCATTTGTAGGGAGAGGCCAGGCCGCTCACCGCCCTCTCTTGGATGGAGTGTGCCCAGCCAGCAGAGGCCCAAGGCCACCCACCTGTCGTCATGCCCAGAGCCACAGCGACACGCACACATGCGCACACACGTGCATGTAGGCTCACTCAGCCTGGTGCAGCAGTGAAACGCACTCTCAGCCAGACTCCAGACCTGATTCCTGGGTCTGCTACCCACTAGCTTGTGGGCTTGGAAAAGGCATGTAGCATCTCTGTGCCTCAGGTTCCTCCTCTATAAAATGAGAGCATAATCAGAGTACTTGCTCATGGGGTAACGCTGTGAGGATGAAATGAGTGTAGGTATGTAAAGTGCTTACAACAGGCCACAGAAGTGCTGCGGGCACGGGGGAGGGGGGGCACAGATCCACCCTGCATCTTACCAGGTGCACGTTCTCCCTGCACACCTCAGGGTGAGGTGGGGGTCCTGAGAGAGCAGAGAAGGAAACAGCCTCCTAGCACTCCTGCTTGGGCTTCATCTGACCTCAGTCCTTTGTTCTGAGGTGATATCCACGCCAGGCCTTCCCAGGTGCCCTAATGTTCCAGTAAGGGGCTGCCCCCTCCAGGAAGACTGCTGCCTTCCCATAGTATGAGGACATTTGCTTTTGGGTTGGTTTCTGCTTGAAGGCCTCTTCAAGGCACAGTGGTTAAGAGCACAAGGCTGGCTTCAAATCCTGGCTCTACCATTTACCACATCATCTGGAACAAGCGGCTGAAACTTTCTGGGGCCTCAGTTTCCTCAGCTGTACAACAAGCATAACCACAGGGTAATTGTAAAGAGTAAATGAATACTCTGCTTTTAAGGCAAGACTTGGCATGTAGGTCGCCAGTACATATTAGCTATCATTATTATGAGAGTCTTTTCTCCCCTTACTGAGACTATGAGCTCCTTGAGGCTAGGGTGCTAGTCTCCTGTTAGCCTCCCTGGTGCTTGGGATAGACAGGTAGTGATGGGGGCGCATTAGGTAGCCCTCCGAGCAGAGTGCCCCCTGCAGGCTCTGTAGGTCCCTGCACTCCAATGACTCTCGCACCCACCCAGACACACCTTTCCTGGTGCAGGGTCCGCTGCAGGCAAGAGTGATCTAGGGAGGGAAGCCCACTGGGGAGGGACAACCCCAGCAGCACCCTGATGACTAATCCCATCTGTGTTCATGTGACCAGTGAGCCTCTGAAGAGTCAGGAGGTAGCCAAGTACCACTACCAGGTATGGGGCACCTACAAACACACATCATACGTACATACATACACACATACACATACCCAGAGTAGTGATGCCTCTGGGTAACCCCCAACCCTAAGTCTGTTCCTACCCAGCTCCTTCCCTGACTACTGGATGGAGGGGGCTTACATTTCTCTCTTAAGTCAGGGGCTGAAACCCCACACTCTACCCTCCCCCTGTCACATGCCAGCATAGGCCCTAGCCTAGGTTACACCTGACACCCCCTACTGTACCCCCCAGAGGAAAGACAGGGAGCCCACCCATTAGGAGGCCTAAAGATCTTCTGGGGTGGGGACGGCTGTGCCTCGGCAGAAAGGCAGCAGTGTGCACCCTGCTCCAACTCCACCCCCCTGCCCCCCAGCCTCCTGGACACAGGGAAAAGGAGAGAGGACTTACCACTGCTGGCCCAGGGCAGGTACCAGGGGCAGCTGACATTCACGAAGGAGCCCGGCAGCCCGTCTGGCCAGCAGGCATACTCATCGAAGGTCCGATTGCAAAACAGACCTGGGTGCAAGAGGAACAGTCTCTGAGTCCCCACCTGGCCTGCCAGTGGCACATCCCCTCCACTGCCACCGTGGAGGCTGGCAGGGCAGAATCCCTGCACTCGGCTAACCTCTGCTGAGCACTCGCTGTATGCCAAGCACTGTCCCCACCCAGCAGGTACCAGGCCAGGGGACTCAGCCACTTATCAGCAGTGGAACTTTGAGCAAGTTACTTAATGTCTATTTTCTCACCTGTAAAATGGGACTAATCCTGAGCCCACAGGGCCTTTTGGAGACAAATACTGTGTTATATAGATACTTGAGCATGGTAGTTAAGTGCTCAATAAATCCCTATGGGCCATTCTTTTTTTTTTTTTTTTTTTTTTTGGAATTTTCAGTGGACCCATGATTTATTCAGACTCCCTATGAAGGCAGTATTCAAACAAGGGAAAGACTGTGATTATACACTTGCTGAGATCAAAATGGAAGACCACCTCAGTGTGAAAATAAATTGCAACGCAAACATCTAAGAAGAGTGCCTATAGGCCTATTCTTAAAGTATACTCATAGATGAGGGGGGAAGGGTAGCTCATAAGGCTCGAATAACCCTCTACGGCCGCTGTGCTGTGATTGCAGGGTCCAGCCAGCTCCAATCTTCTGCTCTTTAGACCACCCCATAAACTCCTCTGAAACATTTATTCCTATAAATATGTTGGTTGGACCTCCAGCCCCAGCACAGGCCAGAAGTGCTAAGGAGGACACAGAATGGAAAGGCCAGGTCCCTGCTCCCAAGAGGCTCGAGCTGGAGAAAAGGGGAATAAGGTGGCACCCCCAGGTATCGGGCAGGTGTGGCATCCTAGAGAGGCAGATGATGCCCAACCATAGCTTGGGGGTGGGGAGCGCCTTCAAAGTCTCCAGGGGATTGGTTGGGTGAGGGTCCCACCTGGACTCACCTGTGGCTGGGGGTGGAGCCTCAGTCAGGAAGCGTTGGCACTGGTGTCGGTATTCTCGCCACTTCTGCACTGTCTCTGAGAGGGACACAGTGGCACCCTGTGGGGGGGGAGGGGAGAAATGGAGGCCCCTTGGGTCCAGCCAACCTCTGTTTTTCCCCCTGCCCCCACACCTCCCCCCCCTTTTTTTTTCATCTCCAGAGAACTGTAGAGCCTGAAACTCCACCAGGCATTGGCTATCTCCGAAAGGGGGAGAAAGTCACTACCACAGAGGCACTCTGGTGGATCTTTTCACATTTTTATCCCCAAGTAGACAGATGTGTAGCTTGATGTGTATTAAGTGGCCAGCACATGTCTACTGAAATGATGATTTGGGGGGCTGAGTGGGTGAAGGGGGAGTGTGCCGCATTCTGACCTCACCTAAGAGGCAGAGTTCCTGAGGGACCACGGCTTTGTGACTGCCATGGACTCCTTTCCCAGTGCCCAGTCAGCCTGCCTGCAAGGTTCTTGCACTTTCAACCATTCTAGAAGGGCACATGCCGGCCCAGAGTGGGAGAGAGACTCAGTCGAAGTCACACAGCACCCCAAGGAGCAGAGCTAAGGCTAGGACTCTGGCTCCCCCAGATCAGTGACTGTGATGGTGTATTGGGAGGCATGTGGTGTGGTGGGATTCAATGCTACAGATCATTGAAATAGGCCATCATGTCATCCGGGGGGGCTGACACACCACCCATTGTCCCTTTTTCTAGTATAATGTTAGAGATAAAATATGCAGCCCAGCTTCTATCACCTGAAGTAGTCCTGAGGACATGGGATCAGAAAAGTTCCAGAACAGGGAGATTTGGCTTACAATGGGAGAGGTCCCCCTATCTGTGAGTAAGGGGATATGAACCTCCATTTTTAGATAAGGTAACCAAACAGATTTTTTAGCACAGAGACCCAAACGGACCCACCCATGTGAGAAATGTCCCTTCTGAACATTTTCGTGCACTTCCTGTAGATATATCTTGGGATCGTGATTCTTTTTTATTTGTATTTTTTCCTCAACAGGCTCCAAATGACAAATACTCCTCATTTAGAGTCTGCAGAGGCCAAGATGACCAGGGAGCCCCTTGCATAAAATGTAGAGCCTATACATAATTTAAAACAAAAGTTCACTTTTTTGAAATCACAAAAATACATTCGGGTGCTAAAATTAAAATAGCTTCTTTTGGGGCGCCTGGGTGGCTCAGTCGGTTAAGCGTCCAACTTCGGCTCAGGTCATGATCTCACGGTCCGTGAGTTCGAGCCCCGCGTCGGGCTCTGTGCTGACAGCTCAGAGCCTGGAGCCTGTTTCAGATTCTGTGTTTCCCTCTCTCTGACCCTCCCCCGTTCATGCTCTGTCTCTCTGTCTCAAAAATAAATAAACGTTAAAAAAATAATAATAATAAATAAAAATAAAATAGCTTCTTTTGGGCAGCTTGCACCCTGGACTTGGTGCTGCCCTAAGCACATGCTGGATGTGGTTTTGGGTAATCCTGCCCTGGTTTAAGCTGAGTCCTGGTTTATAGGACACCTCCCACAAAGACACAGGTTGTCCTGTGCTGATCCCTGCCCACAAGGGAAGCGCCAGGAAGGGGCCCAAGCTTGCTTGAGCCCCAGCACATTCTCCAAGTAAGTGTGCCCAGGCCACAGGTGGCACCACCTGAAGGAGTTCTTCTGAGGGCAAAGGTCAAGTGTATTTGTTTGAAAAACAAATAAAAGAACAAGGAATAAAACACAACAGCAGTTAAGGCAGTGTCTTGATTTTGGCTACAAAAGACAGGTCAGCAGAATTTTTCACTAGAGCCAGTCCTGGTGGATCAACCCCAATCCCCAGCCCACCCCTTTTCCTTCTACCCCCCACCCCCACCCCCTAATGCAGCAGCTGGTGGTAAAAGGGCAGAGAGGCTGGGGAGAAATTCTCCTTGATCACTTTTTCTAGAAGGAAAGCAGGCAGAAAGCAAGGTCACAGCTGGGAACTAGGGCAGAAGGTGTGTCTGGGGCAGGGAGGGAGAACAGGGAAGCCCATGGAAACTAAAAGTCTTGGAGTGGGGATTGGAGTGGGGTTAAAGGCTAAAGACAGCACCATGAAGGCCAGCTTGGCCACCAACACTCCAGGGAGGTTCAAAACAGAAGCAGCCCTGTCACCTGCTCTGAGGAGAGCTTCAGATATAAAACTATCTTAGACAAGGACTCCCTGGGGCAGGATTGTCTGCCCCCTCAGACTGGGGCTCCCTGAGGCAAGGCTGTGTCTCCTCCCTTAGACTGGGGCTCCCTGAGGGCAGGGCTATGTCTCCCCTCAGACTGTTTGTTGCTCCCTGAGGCAGGGCTGTCTGCCCCCTCACACTGGGGCTCCCTGAGGACAGTGCTGTGTCTCCCCTAAGATAGAGAGCTTCCTGACTTCTTCCTGAACCAGCTCAGGGTCTCCAACATACTGCTTACTGTACAGCCCTGCCCTCCAACCTCCTACATAAACAGCATGAACTACTGGGACCTCTGGTCTCTCCCCGACCAAGTGTTTATGGAAGCCATATTGTGCCAGACTCTGGGAGGTGGTGGGGATGAGAAACGTGGGAAACACAAAGAGGAAAGACAGGGCCCTGACCTGAGAGAGTTCCCATGCTATTTGGGGGGTGGTGTCAAGGGCTGGGCAGCACAGAACAGAGAAGGCAGGGGTGAGAGTGTTCAGAGGGTGGTTTGGCCCAGGCTCAGTGTAGACTCAGCTTTGGGGGACAGGCTGGGCTAGCAAGGGTGGAGGGTGGGCGTTTCAGCAGGAGGGCCCAGCAGGTACAAAGATGCAGAGGTGGGGATGTTGATGCTCCTGCCAGCAGAGAAAGGAATTTCTGGGCGAGGGAGAGAGCAGTGGCCAGGACTCGGACAGACATGAGGCTCTGGTCTGGGACAAGGCTGATGACGTCCAGTAAGCAGGGCCCAGGTGCTCCGGTGAACACAGTAACACAGTGGAGGGTGAATAACCCTGGCTTTGGGCTTAGATCCAGGCCTGACCCTGGCTCCCCCATAAATTAAGTTTGTTACCTTGCCCAAGAATCTTAACTTCTAGCCTCAGCCCGTACATGTGCAAAATGGGAATAATAATAGTCCCTACCTACCCCCTGCCCAGGATTGTTGTGGGGATTAAGTGAGTTTATGCTTAGAATGGCCCCTGGCACATGGAAAATGGGCAGTCCATGCAGTCCTTCTCACGATTTCTGCTGTTTACAGGAGAAGGGGGAGGGCAGAGTGGATGGGGCAGCGTGGCTTCCTGGGGAGTCTGGGCGCTACCTCTCCCTCACTTCCAGGATCAACAAAGTCCCAGGAGGAAACGGACATATTTTCATGCCAAGGCCCCATCATTCTGCATCGTCCAGTGGCAAACCCAAGTGGGGATGCTCGGGATTCCATGCCCCTGGGCAGGGAACTGTGAGGAGGGGCAGGCCCTGTCCACCAGCCCCTAGCCCCGGTTCATCCTCCCCTGGCATGAGTCCCTGCTCCAAGCCTGATGAGGTGGGGCTGTGGGTGCTGGGTACTGGGAAGGACCCAGTTGTAGATGCTCCTGCCTCACAGGGCAGCAGACCAGGCCCACAAGAGGGCAGCAGTGGCGGGCTAAGGTGCCAGAGTGAGGGCAGGATGGAAGTTTTAGAATCAGGACTTACCAGGTTTTATGAGATCTCTCTGAAGGGGATGGAGAGATAAAACGGAGACAATGCGCAGGTGGGAATTATAATAAGGAGGGGCATCTCTCAGATGCAGGAGTTTGGGGAGGAAGCAGGAGGTGAGAAAGAGGACGCCAAGAGGGAGTGGTGTGCAGGAAAGTGCAAGTCCTGGGTTCAAATCCCAGTTCAATCTGTTAATGTGGGATTGATAAAATGCACTTTAATCCTTTGGGGCCTCAGTTTCCTCATCTGTACAACAGGCATATTATTCTTCTCAAAAAGTTACTGTACTGGGGCGCCTGAGTGGCTCAGTCGGTTAAGCATCTGACTCTTGATTTCAGCCCAGGTCCTGATCTCACGGTTCCTGAGATCAAGCCCCATGTTGGGCTCTGCGCTGAGCATGGAGCCTGCTTGGGATTCTCTCTCTCCCCATCTGCCCCTCTCTCCCACTCACACACACTCTCTCTCAAAATAAATAAATAAACTTAGAAAAAAAGAGTTACTGTACAGATCCAGCAACATAAAGTAGATGAACACCTTTATGAATCATCAAGCCCTGTACAAATGGGCAGTCTTAGAAGGAAGAGGAGACAGGAAAGGACATATTTGGCATGGATGCTCCCAAGGTGACAGGCTTTCCAACACCCTGGGAAGGTACTCCCTCTCCAAAGACTAGCTCCTAACTGAAAAATTCCTCCTACAGTTTTCTTAGTGTGAATACATCTCTTCCTTTTCTGGAAGCCTTTTTGATTGAAGGAAGGGGGAAAGAGACCTTGGCCTCCCTGGGCCACCGAGGTGGGAAAAATGGGAGAGGATTCCAACGTTTATTTATTTTTGGGACAGAGAGAGACAGAGCACGAACGGGGGAGGGGCAGAGAGAGAGGGAGACACAGAATCGGAAACAGGCTCCAGGCTCTGAGCCATCAGCCCAGAGCCTGACGCGGGGCTCGAACTCACGGACCGTCACGGACCGCGAGATCATGACCTGGCTGAAGTCGGACGCTTAACCGACTGCGCCACCCAGGAGCCCCTGGGAGAGGATTCCAAAGGAGAAAGAGAACTCCAAAGACGAACTCTGGGGCCTCCTAGCTGACGCAGCCCTTATCTTCCCCAGCAGCTCCTCCCAGACCCCCAGACCCCTCCCTCTCTGCCCTCCTCCCAGAGCCCACAACATCACCCTGGCCCCAGTGCCCTGGAAGGGTGGGGCTGCCAGACCCCTGGCTCTTTGACCCCCCATTAGTTTTTTCTTAAGGGCTCCAGACATGTGAGCAGTAGGGCAAGGCAAAGAAAACTGACACACGTTGTCATATGCACAGGAACCTCCACATGGGTGTCCTGTCATCCACATTATCAAACTCATCGTCGAGCACATGCTTACATACCAAGACATGACAGTCTCACTCTCTCTCTCTCTCTCTCTCTCTCTCACACACACACACACACACACACACAGTCAGGTACACACTCACATGCTGAGACATCACCCCCACCACCGTGTGCGCACACACACACGCACACACACACACACACAGACTCCTCGACTGACATATGCTCAATTCACACTGTCACATACATACATACAGGGAAACAGCCACACATTCTGTCACAAGCATGCTATCTCTCACCCACACGCTGGCACAGACTGGCAGAACCCATTCACACACAAAAATGTCTCTCTCTTTCACACACACACAAACCTCCCCATAGACACAGTATCATACATGGGGTTGCAAACACATATACGCTGCCAGACACACAATTACATGCTGAGACGTTTCACACACCAGTGGCTCCCACACCAGCAGACTGCCACACGCAGGATCACGCACAAATACACAGAGAAACAGGGGCTCATACAACCCACACCCTTCTCCTCCTGGACTCTCTCTCTCCGTGTTCCTCTATCTATCTCTACCTCTGTATCTCTGTGTCTCTCTATCACACACACACACACACACACACACACACACACACGCAGAGGAATCTGCCTAGGGCCAGGCTGCAGCTAAGGAAGGGCCTGTTTTTGCTCAGAGAAAGGGACTGGAGGGCAGGATGTGGTT